CTTTAAAAAATCAGACCTCCCAAATTTATAGACCCAATCCAAAAATGGACATCTGAAATGAACAGACATTTCTCAGACAAAGAAATAGAAATAGCAAATAAACACATGAAAAAATGTTCAACATCACTGGTCATTTGAGACATGCAAATGAAAACAAAGCTGAGATTCCACCTCACTCCAGAAAGAATGGCTGCTATCATGAAATCAACCAATAACAAACGCTGGCAGGGCTGTAGGGAAAGAGGAACCCTTCTCCACTGCTGGTGGGAGTGCAGACTGGTGCAACTACTGTGGAAATCAGTATGGAGCTACCTCAAAGAACTAGGACTAGAAGTCCCATTTGACCCAGCTATTCCCTTGCTGATATCTTCCCCAAAGAATTAAAAGAATCATACCCTAGTGATATATGTGCAACCACATTCACAGCAGCACAATTTGTAATAGCTAAAACTTGGAAGCAGCCCAATTGCCCATCAACTGCAGACTGGATAAAGAAAACGTGTTTTTTTTAATATAATGGAGTATCGCTCAGCCATAAAACGTGAGAAATTAGAGACATTTATAGCTAAATGGATGCAAATTGAGGGTATACTCTTAGGTGAAATAAATAGGACACAGATGTGTAAATATTAAATAGTTTCTCTAGAGTGAGAAACTGAAAATGTAAATAAGGACTAAAAGGTATAATACATAATGTGAAATAGGAAGAAAACGGGCAAAGGGGAAGGGGAAGTGGGAGGGGTGGGGGAAACGAAAGAAGGGAATGGAATTAATATGAGAAAGTGAAAAAATGGAAGCAAAGTCTTTGTAAATAGTGAAGGCAGGGGAAGGGGGAAAAATAAGAACCAAGAGAGATTATGTAAAGGTGCAAATTTCCAATGATGAATGTCATTATATTGTATACCTAAAATGTACCAATAAAATAAATTTTTTTTAAAAGAGAAGAAAAGAAAAAGAATTCACAGCCATTAGCCTTCCTAACGTCTTTCTCCCTGCCATCTACCTCCTCTGAAGGTCCCTATAAAACTCTGTGCACAACTCTACCAGAATGCCCAGACCACAGGCCACTACAATTCTGTGTGTGCTGGTCTCCCAGATAATGAACTTCATTCTTTGGGGAAAAAGTGTGTTGTACTCCTTTTTGGTAGTAGGGATTGAAACCAGGGCCTTTGTACTAAGCTACATCCCAAGCCCTTCTATTTTCTATTTTGAGATTGTCACTGAGTGACCCAGGCTGGGCTCAAACTTGTGATCCTCTTGTCTCAGCCTCCCAAAGTGCTGGGATTATAGGCATGAGCTACTGTGCCTGGTCTGTTTGGTTTTTTTTCTTTTAATTCATACAGTGTTAACAATCAAGCCCAGGGCCTTCACATGCTAGGCAAATGCTCTATCACTGAACCAGATCCCTAACCTTCTTTTTAAATCTCAACCCATGTAAACAAATATAACCACATCTGTTACAATAAATACAGTTCAGACTTACATACCAATATGGGCTCTATTTGATATAATTTATTTTAGATTTCAACATAGCAAAGTGGCTTAGTAACGGAATTTTCAAAATCATATACTCATATACATATGCACCACCACGTCTGGCTAACAGGCGCATTCCTTTAGTTATTTATTTATTTACCTTTTTTTTTTTTTTTTTTGGTGTTTTGAGACAGGGTCTCCCTATGTAGTTCAGGCTGGTCTTTTTTTTTTTTTTGGTACCGGGGATCAAACTCGCTTGTGAGGCAGGCGCTGGAACCACTGAGCTAAATCCCCAGCAAGGCTGGTCTTGAACTCACTATATAGCCCAGGCTGGCCTGGAACTCTCAGCAATTCTCCTGCCTCAGCCTCCTGAGTGTGAGATTACATGCATGCACCACCATGCCTAGCTTGCATATTCCTTTTTTATTGTTGTTGTTTCTTTGGCGGTTTTTTGTTTGTTTGGTTGGTTTTTTGAGACAGGGTCTTGCTATGCAGCTCAGTCAGGCCCACCTTGAACTCAAGGTGATCCTCCTGACTCAACATCCTGAGTTCTGGGATCACAGGCATGCGCCACCAACCCCAGCACATGCTCATTCTTAAATGTAGTCTTTTGATCTAGATTCCTAAGGATAGTATTATAGAAGGTTATTTTGTGCAGTTGTAAGTGTTCATCCTTTTTGAGTCCTATTCAACACAGCAGAATTCAAGTATACAACAAAAGAAATCTTACAAGCACAGGAGAGCAAGAGTTTGGCCGCTGCACTCTCCACCCTCTGGGGTGCCTTTCTGGACACCACTCTCCGAGCAGCCGCTCACTTTTCGGTATGGCAGGCTGGAGTCGACTTTCTGTCGCTGTCTGATTTAAACACATTTTCTGACTCCACCCAGTCCCATCAGCCAGTCTCTCCTCTCCTCTCTCAGAAGACCCTGGAGACAGGTCCTCCAGCGGTCCAAATCAGCCGCTCCCGAGCTTGGTTTGGAGCACCTATGTCATCTCCCATCGCCCAAGGCCTAGTAAGAGTGACGACACCTCGGCACCAAAGAAGGATGGAACCCAGTTGGACAAACCCCAGGGAGACGCTTCCGGAAGAGCCTATATGCCCCATCTGCCAGTATTTGTTCTGCCGAGGGTGTATTAACCAACTGCCAGCCCAGGAAGCTGGAGAGGACCAAAACGAGGAGGAAGATGAATGGGAAGAGGAAGAGGAGGACTTGGAGGGAGTGGAGGACAACACCATCAGTGAATGGGACAACTCCACTCAAGAAGTTTTGTATTTGTGGAATCCTGAGGAGGTCTTGTTCCAGGACCAAGATGAACCCTGGGATGGTGGCAATATAGGGAATTGGGACAGATTATGGATGGAACCACAAGGAAGATCAGAATGATTACCTAGAAGATATACATGATTTAGAATTTTACTGAACAAAACTCATACTAGTTAATATTACAAGGAACTATTTTGGAATGATGGTCAACATTAACCATGGCATGGCTGTGGCTGCAGTAAGTTCTTTCTTGGTAGCAACTGAGTCAATACAAATTTTTTTTTATCTTTGTGATCTAGCTTTTTTAGTTTTCAGAGCCCTAAGTAGGGAGGTTGTTACTAGTAGACTTAAGCAATAGGTCAGTGATTTTCAAGAATATAAGAGAAAGCCATTTTTCTTCCTACCCTCACAAATGATATCAGTAGGGTATAGGGACAGCACAATTTATAAAGTCGTATTTATTATTGTAATGTTTAAAAGAAAAAAACACTTAACTTTCATATTATAGGAAATAAAATTGAAAAGAACTTGAAAAAATAACCCGAGATCTTGGAGCTGTCACTAAAGCAATGATATATTTACATGACAAAAAGGCTATTCTTGGGTTGGAGATGTAGTGTATTGGTAGAACACTTGCCTAGCATGGACAAGGCCCTGGGTTCAACTCCCAGCAGCCCCCCTACTGCTGTGGGCTTCAAGTCAGATTTATGTTGAGACTCAAGAGCAAAGAGCCCACCACAATGATTTAAAATGTCTTGAGTTTGGCAGGAAAGCAAGCTCCAGTAAAGTTACTACAAAGATGGAACAGAGGAGAAACTGCTTACTGAAAAGGCTAGCAAGAAAAAGTCAAGTATTTCAGATGAGGACAATAGAAAAGATTGCCTGAGCATATCACAAGAACCAACAGGTCTCTACGCTTTGCAGCCTCAAAACTGCAAAAGTGAAAGACTGCTTTGAAGAAGAGAGACCCAGAGCACCATGTTCCAGAATGGTGGTGGCCTAGGGAAGTTGTTCATTTGGATTTGGTTCATAGGCACCTGACCCCTACAGCCAAAAAAAGAAGGAAGTCTGGCTACTGATCCACATGGTGCTGGTTTTAGGTGCATGTAGAACGCAAGAGTTGTGGGGTCAGGAAGGCTTCCACATAGATTTCAGAAGAAGGTCTGGGAGGGCAGTCCTGAGAGGGCAGTGTGAGAAGCTGTGAATGTGAAGAGGTACAGTGGAGACCCCAGAAGTTTGGAGAAGCCAGGAACACAGATCACAGGATCACAGGAACACAGGAAACTTCAAGGAGGGAGTAGAGTCAGCCTGAGAGAGAGGCTGTGAGAGCTACAAGCAGCAGCACCCAAGCCTTTCTCACCACAAATTTCTTTGGATGCTGGATATAGAACTACAAATTTAATGTCTGCCCTGCTGATTTTTGGTTTTGCTTTGTTCCCATTCCTATCCCTCTCTTTGTAACCTTTGGAATGGAAGTGTCTGTGTATGTTGGAAGTGTTTAACTTTGTTTTCATTTGTACAGGGGCTCACAGCTAAGAGACTGCCTTAAATCTGAGAGGAGAGGTTGGACTTGGCCTTTTTAGCAATCCTGAAACTGTTAGGACTTCAACAACACTTAGGAACTAAATGCTTATAGCATAAAAGAATGTATGTGATTCTTTGAGGGGTCAGGGGCAGAATGTTATGGCTTGTATCTAGAGGTACCCTTGAAGCCTCATGTGGTCACAGGTGGGGCTTTTCAGAGGTGGCTGGATCTCAGGTGTGTGATGCTGGGATTGATTCACAGTGCTCTGCTAGATATAAGAGGGAGTGCTATCCACCCTAAGGGCAGGTAGCCTGGATAAGATATGAGGGACAGAAAGAAGGTCATCACTTGTAGCTTGCTGCCTTGCTGCCTTCTGCCTGCCATAAACTTTTTCTCCTCTGTGATACCCCTCTGCCATGCCACCCTGCCTTGAAGCTTGCCAACTACGAACTGAAACCTCTACAAACTGTGAGCTAAAAAATCCTTTCCTCCTTTAACTTTGGGTGTCAGGTATTTTGTCTCAGCAACGAGCAAAACATAACTTAGCATATTTTTTGTTTTGCTTTTTTGCAATAGGGTCTTACTATGTAGTCCAAGCTGGCCTCACACTCACAGCAACCCTCCTGCCTTAGCTTTCCAAGTGCTAGGATTATGGGCATGTGCCACCACACCTGGCCCACCACATTTTTTTTTAAAAAAGCATTTATATGATTATGCAACAGATAAAAATTACCTGGTCTATATATTGTATATGTTTGAAATGCCAGGCTGAGATCTGCATTCTTAAGGATATTCAACAATGTGTCAGGAGTCTCCCTGAGCCACTGCTTACGGGTATTATTTTCACTGTACATTATTACAGAACCACCTAGTTGCAAAAAAATAAAAATTAGGGCTAAATAAGAAAATATTTTTAACATCTATCTCCCAGATTGTATTCCAAAGTTAATTATATTTGACTCTCAACTAAAATCTGTTTTACTTGCCTATATGAGCAGCTCTCTGATGTGTGATGCTAAACATCCTTCACAGAGTGTCATATAGGAGGAAGCCCATGGGTTATATGCAAATACTGTGCCATTTTATGTAACTGTCTTGAGCATCCATGGCTCTGGAACCAATCACCCTCAGACACCATAGGATATTGACCATACTCACCTCTGTCATCCCCCGATGTTAAACTGGAGGTGAGTATGGATGCATTTTCCAAAGCTGAAAGAACTGTACTGGGTACATTTGTCTCCCACTGTCGCCTGTGAGGACTTGGTGATTTGGCTTTTCTGGCATGGGCTGACTGATTACCTGAGTCTAAAATGTGAAAAAGGAATGCCAAAGAGTATTATTTCATCCATTCATCTACATCCAAATATATACTAGAACAAGCAGAAGTATTTCTTTTCTCTTTCAAACTCAGATCTAGCAGCAGTGCTCTTTCAAGTCTAAGGAAAAAAGGAAATGAAAATAAAAATACAGAATGAAATTATCCAAAATGATGAATCAACCCAAAGTGATTCATTAAAGTGACTAAATTTTTTTTTGTGACTGAATTTTTTAAAAATATGCATGTAGTTACATATTGCACGATGTACAAGAATGAAGCCCCAAGAGAACTTATAGACACAAGGTTTGGTATGCTTTTTATGGTAGATAGCAAGCAAACATCACTTTTCCTAATGGTTCTGACTGATAAATACTATTACACTTTGTTGGCAGTGCTGGGGGTCGAACACAGGGCCTTATATAATATAATGCTGAATACGTGCTCTGCCACTGAGGTACACTCTCAGCCCCAATCTCTCTTTTTGTTTTTTGAGGGAAGAAATAAAATATATCTGTAACATTAAACAAATTACTGGATAAGCAAATACCTGCGTATATACTTGCTAGTGATACATAAGACCTAGTAACGTGAAAATTGTTATTCCTTTTATATTCCTCAACTTTCCACATGAGTAATGATTACAATTTGGTAACTTACCTTTTTTTCCTCTGGTTACTTTCCTCAATGCATTTTCAACTGAATTTGTATTAGTGCTTTCAAAATCATTATGGCTGTACTTCCTTCCTTGTTTTTCCTGTTGCTTTAAAAAAGATATTCAAATATTGATTAAATAATGCTTGAATTGTTCCAAAAGAGTAAACAAATATGCAAAGGTATCTATTCTAATTATAAATAAAGATAAATTTTAAAATATGAGTAGTCACAGAACCCCAAATACATGTATATTAATAGTCATATACATTATCTATGTGTATATTAACCACACACCCATATACACGTGTATGTATATGACTACCCATATACATTAATAACCATTATCAATTGTTAGAAATATGAAGAAGATATATAAAATGATAGGTACTTGGCAGGTTTGAGGAAAAATGAAAAATTTCAATATAATTTGTTTTACTAAGCTTGATGTAATATCAAAATGAGATATTCTATGCAGTTGCTATTGTTGATACTCAGTAAACAATACCTAAATCATGGCACTTTGGCATGGTGAACTCTGGAAGGCCTCAGAACCTATAGTTCTTGACATATACCAGATGGATATTTCGTACATTTATACATATATCTTCTAATTATATAATTGATACTTACATATGTTTATTATTACTGATTTGTGGAGCTGGGGCTCAAACCCAGGGCCTTATACATGCTAGGCAAGTGCTCTACAAATAAGCTACAATCCCAACCCCCTCATAAATTTAATTTTTTTTTTGGAAGATAGTACATTTTTATTTCTTCAACTATCTTTTCTCCCTGAGAAAAAAATGGTAAGAGCTCAGCTTTTTAGTCCCACCTGAAGCGTGTGAAAATCCACAGAATAGCTCTTGTAAGGATATCAGATAAAACCCTTAGAATTACTGCGAAAGCACACTGAGAAGGAAGCTTTTCAGTGACTGCAGTATCAGTGAATTCCCTCCCAAGCCTATCTTACTGGAGATGCCTCTGCCACCAGGGATTTTCCTATCTTCTTGCTCACCTGGGTGAGGGCCTTAGCCAAAGAATGAGCTTTGGGGAACGAGACCTGGGGGCTGCTGCAGAAGTGCCTGAAGTACTCCTACCACCTGGAACCCCAAAGGTTAGGGAATCATAATGGCCGCATTCACTCTCTACCTTGGGAAAGGTGGTCCTCTCAACTCCTAGGTGCAAGGGCGACCACAGTGAGGGGTCGGGGGTCAGGAGATCTGGAGAAATGAGCTCTTTGCCAGTGTATGGTGACAGCGAGGAGGAAGCCCCAAGAGTGAAGGTCGCCATTAACACTCTCCCTTTTTTACTACCTCCACCCTTTCTACTACCCGGATCAGTCAGGAGGCCATTCACCTGCTGGGACCAAAGGGCAGAAACTGTCCTGACCACTGACCCTGAAGCCCATAAATTTAATTTTAAAGCACTTACCATTGTGCTTGCTTCATTTCCCAAAGCTGTCCTGATTCTGCTGGGGTCTACTCAAAAAGAAAGAGAAGGTAGGAAGAAAAAGCACAGGAAAGTTAACCTTATTAAGTTTCTTATGTGAAAGCTTGAGAGACAAAGGAGGGTTTTAAAGTCAAAAAGCCAAACGATTAGCCTGAATAAGGTTATCAAGTTTTAATTGCCTTGTAGTAATACACCTCAGTTGTTGAAAGATGCTGCTTCTGCTTGCTGTTTAATTCCTAATGTTAAAATGTGAAATGTAAGAGACATGGCTGTTCAGTTATGCCAATTCACTGAAGACTAAGAGGTAATATGCTCTGCACACTTGAAGGTCATCATCCCTTACAGGACATGCTAGCTAGCTTGTGGAGTCTCTTTTCCTGACATTTGCCATGGCAGACAGAACAGGTATCCCTGACAGGAAATGACCGTATTCATTCACAAGAGAAGAGACAGGAGTTGGGGAAGAACTCTGGCAACCGGTCCTTTTGGTAGGGAGGGCTCCTGCCACATTTTCCTCCAGCAGAGCCCTGGACTTCAGGTCCCTTGTTCATTGAATGTTTTATTTTATTTTATTCATCTGACAGGGGCTCACTCTGTAATCCAGGTGGGCAGTGAACTCACAAAGTAGCCCAGGCTGGCCTTGAACTTGTGGCAATCCTCCTGCCTCAGTTTTCCAAGTGCTGGAATTATAGGTGTGTGCACCACACCTGGCATCATTAAACATTAAAAAAAAATTTTTTTTGAGACAGGGTCTTGCTATGTAGTTCAGGCTGGCCTTGAACTCACTGTGTAGCCTAGACTGGCCTCGAACTCACGGTAATCCTCCTGCCCCAGCCTCCCAAGTGCTACAACTACAGGCGTACGACACCACACTTGGCCTCATTCAACATTTTAAAAATGGCTATTGAGCATCGCTGATGACAGGCACTGTGAACACAGGAGTGGACATGTTATACACAGTCCCTGCCCTGACATTCAATTTCATTGTTCTGCTCTGTGTACAGACTAAATGGAGATGCCACAGGGCACATGGTCCCAAAAGGGTGGCATTTCTCTGTGTTCTTTATTTTTCTCTTTCTAGAATTTCTTTCTTTCTTTCTTTCTTTCTTTCTTTCTTTTTGGTACCAGGGATCGAACTCGGGTCCTTGTGCTTGCGCAGCAGGCAGTGAAACCACTGAGCTAAATCCCCGGGCCCTCTTTCTAGAATTTCTAAAACTACATTTTTCCAACCTACCTTGAAACTTTTCTTAAGTCTGTTTTGTCATTACCCTTGAATATGACCAAAAGCTACCAAGTAGTACCAAAAGTCAAATTAACACCAAAGCAAAATGGTAAAACAAAGGTAAGTGAAACCTCTTAAGTCATGGTGAAAAGGCTGAATTATAAGACTGAAGGGTTTACATCTGTGATATTGTGCTATATGTATTTTGGGTTTTGTCCATAGTTCCTGGATATAAGTGCCATAGACCTTGTCATTTCCTAAACAACTAGAACAGCAAGTATATCTTTTGCTGAAGTATTTGGTTTTCTGTCCTTAGTTCCTGAAGTAGCTTTGGAACAGCTTTAGAGAAATGAGGGTGTGAGATAATAAGGCTGCTTTAGGCTTCAGACAGCAAAAATCTCTCTCTCTGACTTTCTGCCTCCTTTTTCTCCCCAAGGTCAGCCATACAGACTAGAATTTCTCTTCCTCAAAGTGGGTCACAGAAGCTAAAAATATACTGTAATCCTTCCCCACTTTCTGTCTTGGCCATGAAGCAACTGTGACCTTACTTGTCTTATAGTAGATGACAATATACCCATTTCCCAAAGGGTCCTGTCCTACACAGAGTCTGAGCAGACAGGCCTGGCTGCATCACCTGCTCAGTCTATTAGTACTAAATTTTACCCTCCTTATCCAATCACACTTCAACACAGTCTTCCATGCTTCAGTCATGCCTGTACAATAATGTCTCCATAAAAACCCAACAGAGCAAGGCTGGAAGAGTTCTTGGGCAGCCAAATATGTGGAGGCTCATAGGAAGGTGAGCAAGAGCTCTTAGATGTGCCAGGAACATGGCACACCACAACTCAACAGACAGAAGCTCCTGCGCTCAACACCCTTCCAGACTGCCTTATGTATCTTTCATCTTGTTGTTTATCTACATCCTTTAAAACAGCCTTGTGGGGCTCAGTGGTACATGCCTGGAATCTCAGCTACTCATAAGGCTAAGGCAGGAGGAACTCAAGCTCAGCGCCAGCCTACGAAACTCAGCAAGACTTTGTCTTCAAATAAAAGATAATAGTGGCACAGTGCTTTAATTCCAGCACTCTCAGAGGGGCAGGCAAGTTCACACCCAGCCTAGGCAACTTAGTCACTTAGAAATACCTTGTCTCACAAAAATCTTATAAAGGGGGCCGGGGATTTAGCTCAGTGGTTTTGTCACCTGCTGCGCAAGCGCGAGGACCCGAGTTCAATCCCCGGTACCAAAAAAAAAAAAAAAAAAAAAAAAATCTTACAAAGGGATATGGCTTAGCCTAAATACTTAGAGTTCAATCCCCAGTACTGCAAAAAGAGCTAAACAAAATCAAATAAATAAATAAATGAACGAAAAAATAAAAAAACTCTAGGGATATAGCATAGTGGTACAGCACCCCTAGGGTTGATCCTCAGTGCTATAAAAAAAAAAAAGTAGCCTTCATAATAAACTGATAAATAGCTGTTTCTCTGAGTTCTGTGGGACACACTAGCAAGTTACTCAAGCCTAAAGAAGGGGTTACAGGAACCTCAATTTTTAGCCAGTTGGTCAGAAGTTCCCGAGGCCCAGCCTTGCTGCTGGTGTCTGAAGTGAGGGTATTCTTGAGAACTGAGCTTCAGCCTGTGGAACTGAATGGTAGAGTGTCAGACTGGAACTGGGTCAGAGGACAGTCAGCCAGTGTCTTCTGCAGAACCAACAGCTTGCTTGCTGCTGGGGAGAAATCCCCATGCATTTGAGGATGCAGAAGTTCTCTGTTTGTGACTAAACTATAGTCAGAAAAATTGAGTTGGGTTTTCCTCAATATCCTCAGAACATCCCTCCAAAACAACATTTTAAAAGGTAACTTTCAGCAAACAAGTTTTCAAAATGTTTCTTCTATAGTAAAGATCCCCAAGGTGTGTGTGGGGGGAACATGTTCCCCCAGTGGTAAGCTATGTTCTTTAACTCCTCTTTCTTACTCTGCTTGTTTCTGCCATCTGTTATCTTTCTTCACAAAGAAGTCAATGACAATAAATGCAAAGGAATAAACATTGGTTTGAAAAAATTCAGACATGACAAGCTCCAAAGAGAGAATAAGCTAAATTCAATACCTGCTTAGGACAGCCCATTGATGCAGGAAAATCTTATGCAGCTATTAACGTGGATGGTCCCTTCTTCCTTTATTTTTCCCTAGTGCTGGGTATTGAACCCAGGGCTTCATACATACTAGGCAAGCACTCTAGCTCTAAGCTACACCTCCAGCCTTGGTTCCTAACTTTTGAAAAGGCGCTAACCTTTATTTGCTTTTTTTTTTTTTGGGTACCGGGGATGAACTCAGGTCCTTGAGCTTTCAAGACAGGTGGTGTAACCACTGAGCTAAATCCCTGGCCCCTTTATTTGCTTATTTTTTTAATCGACACATTTTATTATTTTAGAGCAAGTTTTTTGTTTGTTTGGTTGGTTTTCTTTTTTGAGACACGATCTCACTATGTAGTTCAGGCTGGCCTTGAACTCACTTATATACCCTAGGCTGGCCTTGAACTCCTGGTGATCCTCCTGCCTCAACCTCCCAAGTACTAGGATCACAGGCCTGCACCACCACACCTGCCCCTAGAGCAGTTTTAGGTTCATAGCAAAACTGAGTGAAAAGTATGTATACACCCTGTTCCCACCCTTGCATGACTTCCCTCACTACCAATATCCCATACCACTTAAAACCGATGAACCTACACTAACATATCACTGTCACCCAAAAAGTCATAGTTCACGTGCAAATAGGCTCTACTTCAGAAAAGTTTGTTTACAGGACTGTTCTCCTGAAACTTGGGGATATATTTTCCTATAAGATTAGTGTTATGTTTTGCACAGTTAGATTCCTAGGCCCACTCCACAGAAGCCTTCTTTCTAACCATTAAACCAGAGTAAATAAGCTGCTAATTATGAAGCAGAGAACAATCTTTCTAACACTAAATTATCCAAACTAGGGTCTTTTTTCTGATCCCTGGAAACTATAGTATAAGATTCAATAGAGAACTATGTCTGATATAAAGAAAAGAAAATTTTGACTTGAAGAATATCTCAGCTAATTACTTTTAACAACTTAAAATTCACATCTTTTTTTTTTTCTGTATTTTTTTTGTTGTTTGTTTTTTGGCACCAGGGATTGAACTCAGGACCTTGTGCTTGCCAGGCAGGCACTGTGCTGCTCAGCTACATCCCCAGCCCATTTTTACTGTATTTTTCAAAAGAGCACTTTAAAAACAATATTTCCAAAGTTCTTACCCTTTTTTCTTGGTGTATTATGCTTACGCGTTTCGGTTTCATCTAATACCTGTTCTCCATATTCTGTGATAATCTGAAATTTAAAATTGAGAATTTAAAGAAAGATGTGAAAGATACTCTTCTTTAGAACACTACCATAAATGTTATTTAATCATCAACATTTTTCAGCATAAGCATATTTAAAGTTGAATAATAAAAATGCCATTAAAAAGTACATATAATAGGGGTGGAATGTAGCTCAGTGATAGAACTGTGCTTAGTATGCTTAAGCCCCTGGGCTCAATCCCCAGCACCAAAAACAATTTAAAAATTAAAAAAAATAAAAGCCCATATAATTTTTTTCTTCTTCTTTTTTTTTTGTTTTTTTTTGGTTTTGGGGAGGTTTTTCTTGGTACCAGGGATCAAACTCGGGTCCTTGTGCTTGCAAAGCAGGTGGTGAAACCACTGAGCTAAATCGCCGGCTCTTCTTTTTTGAGACAGGGTCTCACTATGTAATCCGGGCTATCCTCAAATGCACAGCAATCCTCCTGCCTCAGCCTCCCTAGTGCTGGAATTACAGGCATGCGTCACCACACCCAGCCAAAAGTACATATAATTTATACAGAGAGACAAATATGATATTTCTATGTGTTAAAAAAAAAGATCTGGAGGGCCAGGGATTTAGCTCAGTGGATTTGCCACCTGCTGCACAAGCGCAGGGACCCGAGTTCGACCCCCAGTACCAAAAAAAAAAAAAGATCTGGAAAGGGCTGGGGATTTGGCTCAGTGGCACGGTACCTGCCTTGCAAGTACACGGTCCTGAGTTCAATCCCTGGTACCGAGGGAAATAAAAAAAGATCTGGAAGAATATGCAAACAGTAACTGTAATTATTCCTCAAGAATAGCACTGTGGGAGAGGAAAAAAGATTTTTTAAAATTTATTTATTTTTAGATTTTTATTTTTTTAACACACTTCTAATTATTTGAATTTTTACAAGCATGTATAACAAGTAAGTTGTACTTAAAAGGTAACAAACCATTTTATCACATCCTTGAAAACTGGTATACCTCAGGGGGTAAGCACTTCTGGATGAGGGAACCCAAACAGCTTCGGGAAAGCAGGGTGGTGGCTGAAGGGCGCTGTGAGGGATTCCTTTTAAACATCTGCTTGATGAGATACTGAAGTTCATAGGAATAATGAGGTGGCAATGGGTGGATGGACCCTTGACATATTTTGAGGATAAGATTTTTCCAACTATTTGCCTGAAACTGAAAAGTAAAAGTTGAACTTTGAAAGTGGATACAAAGAAAATGGAAATAAAGAAATGCTACCTGAATTGAATTCATGTTCATATAAATTATTTTAATTTTTATAAATAAACCCAGTGTCTAGTCTTTTTTTTCCCTACAGGTGTCCTTAAGATACAATTCTATAAGCTGGGTTTGGTGGCACAAGCCTATAATTCCAGCACCCTGGGAGGCTGAAGGATTTTGAGTTCAAACCCAGCCTGAGCCACTTAGAAATTTAGCAAGACCCTGTCTCAAAATAAAAATAAATAAAAAGGACTAGGGATGTAGCTCTGTGCAAAGGCCCAGGGTCTAATCTCCAGTACTGTGCAAAAATTTTAAAAAAGGGCTGCAGATGTAGCTCAATGGGAAAGCACTCTCCTATCACCTGGAAGGCCCTAGGTCTAATCCCAGCACCACACACACACACACACACACACACACACACACACACCTACACTCTTACTCAGGAGAAAGGTAAACGTGAAAAATAATAAAAACTTCCCCATCTAGAGAAGGTCTTCCCATCAATGCTTCCTTGGGTACTTCATTCATCATAATCTATGATGCTGCAGACATACATTTTCAGTAATGCAAACACATCAAAGTAATCAAAGTAATACAGACACATGGCTTTCTAAAAAGTCAAAGATACTAATAGGCTTATTATATGTATGTACTTGCCTTACCTCTCCCCTGAACTCCGCTCCCCCTCCCAGCCTGCTCCATAGTAACATGCACTCTAGACTTGTCCAGTTTTATGCTTTTCTGTGTGTGGTACTAGAAACTGAACCCAGTTCCTCATGAATGGAAGACCAAGTGTTCTACCACTGAGCTACATGTCAACACTTTTTATTTTGAGACAAGTTCTCACTGTATTGTCCAGGCTGGCAATCCTCCTGCCTTGGCCTCCCAAGTACCTGGGATTACAGGAATATGCCACCACACTTGACTGCCTCAGAACATATATATATAAAATCCCCGCACTGGGGTTGCAATCCAGGGCTCTGTGCATGTAGGGTGCATGCTCTACTACTGATATATGTTACCAGTCCCTAGATACTAGAATTCTTTTTTTTTTGGTACCGGGGATCGAACTCAGAACCTTGTGCTTGCAAGGCAGGCAGCAGAACCACTGAGCTAAATTCCCGGCCCTAGAATTCTAAAAATAACTTTATTTGTATACAACAGTAGTTCCCAACTTGGACCGCACATCAATCTCCCTGTTTTAACAACATGAATGCCCAAGACATCTTGACAGATTTTAATTCAATTAGTCTGAAGTGGGCCTAGGTATCAGCATTTGAAAGGTTTCCCAAGTCATTCTGTTTAGCCAGCATTATAAGCCAATTATATTCAAGGAAGATAACCTGTCATTAACAGTGCATGCCTTCAGTTTGAGTTATTCTTATCTGGTTGTACTGAAGGATTTTTTTCATCCAGTTCTCCAGAGCTCCAAGTGCTCTCAAGCACATCTATAAAAAAGCTTGGTAGACCTAAATTTCAATCCATGACCAAAGACCAGTTTATTTGTATGCAAAGTTAAGACCTAGAAGAGATCAGTTCTATGATTGTGGCTATGTGTAATATACTGCTGAACAAGGAGGACAAGTCCTTGGTAAATTATTTCTGAAAATATCTAGAAAAAAATACAATATTAGGCAAAAGTATTTTCTCCCATTTTTTCAGGAAGCTCACATGATAAGTGAAACCTAACTGCAAAAAGATGAGTATAAAAATGGTATAGCCTCTCTGGAAGACAGTTTGGTGGCTCCTGAAAAGACTAAATATCCAATCATTTAAAAATTAGAGCCGGAAACTCTAATAGATACTTGTTTATCCATGTTAATACCAGCATTATTCATAATAGCCAAAAAACTTAACAATTCAAGTGTCCATTGACAGATGAACAGATAAACAAAACATGGCATAAACACACAGTGGAATATTATTCAGCTATAAAAATGAATAGAATTGTGACACATGCTACCAAATGAATGAACATGGAAAACATGTTAAGTGAACCATACCAGACACAAAAGGACAAGTATTATATACTCCACTGATATGAAATACCTACTATGCAAACTCATAGAGATAGAAAATAGATTAGAAGATAGCAGCTGGGGGAAGAAGATTAGGGAGAAATGGCTTAATAGGCACAGAGTTTCTATTTGGTGTGATAGAAAAGTTTTATAGAGAATAGCATGAATGTATTATGAATGTAATTAATGCCACCAAATTATTTGGTTAAATGGCAAATTTTATGGTATATATATTTTACCAAATTTTTTTTAAAGAATAGTAAAAATAAGGAAAAAAGCTACACATAGAACTACAGAAACTTTATAGTAGATATTGCCTATTAGTATATAGAAAAAAAGTTGCTCAAGGCAAAGACAATAGCAATAGCAACACAGGTAAAATTTTTAGGATGAATTCATTCTAGGGAAACAAACTGGTAGTTGGAATGTGGTACATTATTGAGGACTTTGGCAGATAGGACAACAAGCTGCCATTTCTGTTTTACACAGTGTACTTACTGGGTGCTTCAGGGTACAGAGTTCATACAGAATGCAGCCCAAGGACCAGATGTCACTGGAAGCAGAAAGAAACAACATAACAGGTGAGATAGTAGTTCTATGAACATACATGCATTTTTCTAATAACAAAAAACTGAAAATGATCCTACTATTACTAATAATAGACTTCACAAATAATTTCTAGGTATTAAAATAAAACATACAGTGATTTTTGTTCTAACACTCAGATACTAAGAGTAATATTCACAAACTCTGCTCCCCAAACCCAGCCCTCCAAATCCAGGTGATCTGGGGTCACTTCAGTAGTATCTGGGAATTCAGTAGCAAGAGCACATCTATATGGACCCAAATGCTTGCAGCTTGAAAAAGGACTTTGGAGACAGCAATGAGCTTCCCTTGGGCCACTGTGTGCACACACAGCACCATTTTTTGCAGCCGCATCCTGACAGACAGCTTTCTACCTCACCATGGTCTGTTCCTCTGCTCTGTAAGAGGCCCTCAATGCAGCTGCTGGCAATTCTCTCCCTCCACAGGGTTAGAGAGCAAGTCTATTCATTCTTCCACAAAAATGGCTCTTCAAAATCAGTTCTACACTTGGCCCTATCCCCTACCTCTTCATGCTAAGCACTCTGATTTCCTCCATCACTCTTACCACCTAATTGTCATCTCAGTTTTTTTTCTCAATACTTTTTAACTAGTGTTTTTTAATTAACTGTTTCTCCTCAACTTTTAACTTTTTAAAATTTCAAACCTACAGAAAAGCTGCAAATGCACACATGCTTTTACCTAAGTTCCCAATCATTAACATTTGCTGTGTTTATGTGTTGTTTCCCTTTTCCCTATACATTTGAACCTCTTTTAAAAGGCTGCAAAGGCCACATACTTCACTCCTAAATATGTCAAATCAAGGACACATATATTTCCCCATAAACACAATATCATTTTCACATCTAAGCAATTTCACCTTAATTCAATAATGTCATCTACTAGTCTATACTGAAATCTCCCCAATTGTTTCATTAAGTCCCTTTAGAGTCATTTGGACCCCAATTTAGTCAATTCTACTCTTTTCCTTCCTGCAGCACTGGGGATTGAATCCAGGGCTTCACACATGCTCTACCACTGAGCTACACCCCAGTCCTCCAGTTCTCTTAAAGAAACCTATTTCATATAGATTGTGATACCCTTTTCAAGATGCAACTCAGCAGAAAATAACAAGTCCTTAAGTGTTTCTACCTCTAGGAATCCATGTGATGAATGTAATACCAAAAAAAAAGAGAGAGATTCATGCACAAAAGGTATGTTATTCACAACACTGTTTATGATATTGAAAAGTGGAAATATAAGGTCACCAGCAGATAAATGGTTAAGTAAATTCTGGAAGAGCCATAGAGTAAAATACATGTAACCATTCGAAATACTTATGAAGAGTATAACTATGTGGGGAAATAAATATGATATAATTAATATAAAGTGGAGAAAATGATACACTAATTTGCATACAGAATATATCAACTTGTCTGAGGGGGAAAAAGTGAACAGATAAAAAAGTGTTATTCGAACACTGTAGCAGTGAAAGTGGATGATTTCCATTTCCTTTCTTATACATCTATTTCCAATCCTCCCTGCTCACCTAGCACCACAATGGGGTCATAAAATCTATATTTAGAAAAAATGTTTTATATCATAACATCTTCACATATTATCAATCAATTAAACTAACAACTAAGTACTTGTTATCCAGCCCTATAAATGTCAACTCTAGTGATTCCCAAACGTGTGGTACACATTAGAAACCTGAAAAATTACACCTGCTTCCTACCTCCCAAAATTTTGATTTAATTGGTATGGACGAGACCTGAGCTTTGGGATTTTTAAAGCCAGAACAGTAAAGTTTGGAAATCAGTGATATAATTCATTATACTCCTAGAAATGACTAGTCTTTCTTCCAGCATTTATAGCTAGTTCCTCTCAGTTCTGACTAAAATAGCTGGATAACTGACTTTCTTCTAAAATCCTGAGAATACAGATTCTACATTGCTTTCAAATATATTTTTATTTTAATAATTTAGTTGACTTACATTAATTAATAATTTGTGGTGTCAGGGATCAAACACAGGGCTTCACACACGCTAGGCAAGTGCTCTACCACTGAACTGCATCCCAAGCCCAGATAAACCACCACACTCATGGACCTGCTCTGCATCAGACTCTGCATCATTTGCAGGCTGCCAGACCTGACACCAAATTGGTCACCCTCTCACCAAAAAAAGACACCACTTACCTTTTATTATTATAAGGCAGGTTCTCCCAAATTTCTGGGGGCACATAATAAGGTGTTCCCACATATGTACAAGCAAATGCCATGGGACTAAAACCATAAAAAAAACAAAGCATGATTACAAAGTATTACTGAAAATGGATATTTTGATTACTGTTACTACAATAGAATAGAGACATACTTGGAGAGAAGACGGGCCGATCCAAAATCTCCCAGTTTCACTTTTCCACTTTGGGTGAGGAAGACATTCTGTATTGAAAAAGAAGAACTCAGATTACATCTTCCATCATTCAAACAGAAGGCAGAGGTCTCCAGGGAAGCTCTTTCAAAACTTGCTGATGATGGAGATAAAGAGTAGAAATACTGGGCCGGAGATTTAGCTCAGTGGTTTCGCCACCTGCTGCGCAAGCTCAAGGACCCGGGTTAGATCCCCGGTACCAAAAAAAATTAAAACATTAAAAAAAATAATAAAAAAGAGTAGAAATGCTGACAATTGAGTCTCTGAGGGGACTACAAAACAGCAGAGCCCCCTTTGACAGTTACATGTTCCCCTGCTTGGGAATTCAAGATGACTCCTTGGAAAACTAACACACAAGTTTTACCGGTATCACAGAGCTGATCCACTGACTGGGAACCAAGTGGCAGGCCCAGCTACTGACCATTTTCCATCTGAGAACAAACGGACTTAGTGAGATGGCACTAAAAGGACTGGAAAAACATTAACATACATCACAAAAGTGACTTTTTCACACATACTACTTTATTTGATCAATGTAAATATTAGGTCAAAGGGTATAAAGTTTCAGTTAGCATGAATAAGTTCTCAAGATCTGTTGTATGACATGGTAACTACAGTTAATGTATGGTATTTTTTCAAAATATTTCAAAGTATTTTTGAGAATTACTAAGACAGTAGATTTATTTTTTATTCTATCTTTTGTGGTGCTGGGATCAAGCCCAGGTCCTCATACATGCTAGGCAAGCACTATACTACTGAGCTACACCCCCAACCCTGAGAGTAGATCTTAAATGTTCTAATCAGAAGAAGGTATATGAAGTTAGAGATAAATTGATTAACTCAATTTAATCACAATGTATACATGCATCAAAACATGTAATAAATACATGTAATTTTTGTCATTTTTACCTTAGTAAAGCCAGGGAAATTTTTTAAATTAAAAATGAATAGATAGAAAGGGAAAGGGAAGAAGGGAAAGGAAAAATTATGAGAAAAGAAAAAAAATGGAAACAAAATCTATGTAAATAGGGAAGGGTGGAGGGGGTGAAGGGCGCACAGGTAATGGAGAAAAAAATAAGAACCAGGATTCATCATGTACAGGTACAAGCACCCAATGATAAATGTAAACATACTGTATACCTAAAATGTACCAATAAAAGAATTTTTAAAAATTAATAGATATATATTAGGCCAGCAAATAGTTCTAAATAAAATAGAAATGTCCCTAAAGGAAATGAAGAACAGAAAAAAGACAATGAAGCCAGGTGCAGTGACATGCCTGTAATTCCAGCACAGAGAGGGGCTGAGGTAGGAAGACTGTAAGTTCAAGGCCAGCCTGGGTAACTTAGTAAGATCCTGTCTTAAAATAAAAAAATAAAAAGGGCTTCAGATGTAGCTCAGTGATAGCACATCTCTGGGTTCCATTCCAGTATCACCACCACACACACATACAAAAAAGCAATGAAACTGTTTGGTTTTTCCCCCCAAGTCCCAAAATGTATTCCACTCACCTTGGTCTTGATATCTCTATGTAGTACATATTTCTTGTGAATATGATTTACTCCAAGGCACATTTGTGTAAACCAATTAAGTATCTAAAAGAAAAAAGTATGCAACACCTGCACAAATCCAATAACTTGTTCATGTTAACCCAAAATTCCAAAGAATCATTTCTAGGCCTTAGTTGATTAGGGTTTGATATATGAACACAAAACTCATGAAAATTACATAGTTCAACTAACATTCTATCAGAAAAGCTGTGACTTCCATGTTCCATCATCTTACATATGATCTAAATAGCCATTTTAATAAACCTCCTCTGTATTTTTATTATATTCAACTAAATAAGAATATTTTTTAAATGCGTACATAAAAGTAGTTTACCATTAAGGAATATTAAGAAACACCCTTTCCAGGGTAATCATTATATTGAATTTCTTTTTTTTTTTCAGAATATTCATGATGACATTAAAGGATTTCACTGTGTTGTCAACAATCCTTTGAGGTATACCCCCAACCCCTGTACTAGGGATCTAACCTAGGTCCTTATGCATGCTAGGCATTCTAGCACTGAGTACCTTCCCTATCCCTGGAATTTATACTTTTAACAATATAATTTCTAGATCTGGGCATGGTGGCACACGCTGAATCGGTAGGATCACTGCCTGGGCTATATAGTTCAAGGCCAGCCTTAATTAGTTAATAGTGAGACACTGTCTAAAAAACAAAACAAAACAACAACAACAAAATACAACTTCTAAATGAAGAACACTTATTTATATAGTTTCAAAACATGTTATAACCTAAATCAAAGTAATTTCCATTGAGGATATTTATTTATTTATTTATTTATTTTGGTACTGGGGATCAAACCCAGGTCCTTGCACTTGCAGGCCAGGCAGTGGAACCACTGAGCTAAATCCCCGGCCCCTGAAGATATTTATTTAAATATTTTCCTTGACCAATTCATTACAAAAATATTTACTGTATGTTGCAACTTAGAACAGGATACTCCAAAGTATAGTGCCTTGACATGCCAAATATTTTGAACTCAAGGAAAGGGGCTCAGAAACAAGATCTTTCTGAACTTCTTTCTCCTGTTCCCTTCTGTCCCCTCAGGCAGGGCACAAAAACCAGAATTTCTCTTCCCCAAGGTGGTCATAGAAATTAGAACCCTTCTTCCCCAAAGCCAGTCATAAAGAAAACCTGAAAATATCACGGTATCTTTGCCCCAACTTTCTGCATAAAAGCTAGCCATATAGGAATTCTCCCACTTACCTTGTGTGAAAGTAGATCATAAGATTCTTATTCTAGAAAAGTTCCTGCCCTATGCCAGGAAGGAAGGAATGCCACAGAGAAAGGCCAAGAAAAATCCAAATACACAGGACTTGCTAGTTTTCTCCAATCATTCTATTACCATTAGATTATACCTTTTCCATTGCATTTCTTTTTTTTTTTTCTTTGAGACAGGATCTCACTCTGCAGTTCAGGCTGGGCTTGAACTCACTATGTAGCGCAGGCTGGCCTCAAACTCATGGCAATCCTCCTGCCTCAGCCTCTCCAGTGCTGGGATTACAGGCATGTACCACCACACCTGGCTTCATCTGAATTTCTACATAGCTGTTCATGCTTCACTGAACCTAAGCATAAAAAATAGTTTTCCCTGGGTCTTTGGGTCTTCATTTCTAAAGGCTCTCATGTAAAACTATGATTAATTGTGAAATGTTTTTCTCTTGTTCGCCCATTTTATGTGATAGGAATATCAGCCTTGATGGGTGAGGAAAGAGAACATACCTTTCTACCCCTGCATATGCAATTTTCCATTAAAATGCCAGCAAGTTTTGGACTTAAGGAAATATGTTGAGCTTTAGAAGAAAAAAGATTGAGAATAGCTACTATCAAGAAACAGAAATGGGAGGCTTCATTCTTCTCATGATCTAGTAGTACAAAATAAAATCTATTACGCTTTCTATAATTTCAAAACAGTAAAAATCAAGACTTTAAATATCCAATACAAGGAGTAATATAATTTTGAACTTCTAAACATATAAGCTTGACCCCTTAATATTTCATAAATTGAATGGACTTTACTTCTTTTTGTTTGTTTTTGGTTTTTTGAGACAAAGTCTCGCTATGTCCTTCAGGCTGGCCTTGAACTCACTATGTAGCTCAGGCACTGATCCTCCTGCCTCAGCCTCTGAGTGCTAGGATTACATGCATGTGCCACCATGGCTGGCTTGACTTTATTTCAGGTAACCATTCTGAGGACACTAACAGTAACAAGGATCCAGAAACAAGTTGTTTCTAACTAGTGAGTCAGGTAATCATAGATATCACTGCTTTTATTTTAATTTATACAAAGTCTATGAGAAAGAGTTGCTTCTAAACTTTGAGGGTAACTATGTAAGTCAATCTCTTACCATATCTTCTGGAAATAACTTTCCCTTTTGTTGTTTAATCTTTTGCATTAGATCTCCTCCACCACAATACTCCATTACAATATACAGATGTCCTTCAGCTAAAATAAATATGGGACTTCTTAGGAAAGTCATAGTTGCTACAGATCAAATTTAGAAATGAACATATTTGGAGCAAATCATATTTACCTTCAAATGATTCTTTAAAGGCAACAATATTGGGGTGTTTCATTTTGGCTAACAGAACAGCCTCCTTCCTAGAATTCTGTGTATCAGAGAAAGACTAGGAAAAGATTTTAAATAAGCATAAATTTAATACTGAATTTTAAAATAGCTTTACCCTAATATCTACTATCGTTTGTGTGACACTTCAGTGCTGCATTGAGTTCTGTAAAACCATACTTTTCCTCAAGTTCATCAAACCCCAAAACAGAATACATAATTTTTCAACTATAGCCACGTTTTGCACACTTGAAGTGATCCATTCATTGTATTATATTCTTTTTCATTCCTTTCACATAAAGAATGTAAACTAGGTTTCATATCTGTCTAAACATCACTAGACTCAGAGAGCCAGTGTGCCATCAAAAATATGTTCCAAAAGAAAAGCCACAGATTTCATGTACTAACAGTCAAAATCACTTTATCTGTCCTGTGGCCCAGATTTTTAAAAATAGGCTGGTATATTATTACATCAAAAATGGATAAAGACAACCGGTTAAATATGTTTCTAAAACTATCCCTAACTTACTCTCTGAGAATAAAATCCTGAATGTCTTACTTTTACAATCAAGAAACTGGATGGGGACTGGCAGAGAGCACTGTGCAAGCACTGGTCTAGCATGTGCAAGGTGCTGGGTTCCATCCCCAGCACTGCGGAAAAAAAGAAAAGAAATTGCCACGGCCTGGGTAACAGCCCAGAGGTTCTTGGAGCAGTAGCTGAGAGCTGAGAACATGTTAAAACAAACTCACAGGCACACCCAGACCTGCAGAATCAGACACTGTGAGCAAGCATCCAAATGAGTATGATGTACTCTCAAATTTGAAATCAAGCATACTGTGGGAAAAAAATATCTAGCACTCTAGGAACTTTATTAAGATGTATTTGTAAAAAGTTGGTCAAAATAACTGTGATATGGATTCTTTCATAGAACAACTATGAAATACAGTAATAAATAGTCTCCAGGGAAATAAGATCTATAAACTGATCCAACGAGTAGGTTCTCTGATAACGGTTGGTATTTTCAAGATTTGTTCATCATTGTATTCTTATGTTCTTTTATGATTATTATTGTACCTGAGTTGCTTCAGTTAAAGGTTTCCTGCTAGGTGTATGAAAATGGAAATTATTACCAAATAACTCACTGAAATAAAATAGCACACAATGACTATTTTTCTCCCTTTGTTAACTACACTATCCTAAGAACCACATAAAATATATCAAGCCCTTATAAAACTAATAAATAAACTGATAGCTACTAATAAATACTGATTACATACTACATGAAAGAAGGAGAAATTCCATGTTAAAACCTCAAGGATTTACTCTCATATAAATTACATGTTCCCTCTCAACATGAGCTACTTTCTTTAGCAGTTACCTTGGGAAGCCTTATTTCTTTCATGGCAAACATTTGATTGCTGCGTTCCTTCTGAACCAAAAGAGCTCTGCCGAAGGAACCCTCCCCGATCACTCTCAGGACCACATAGTTATCCATGCTGGGCACTCGAAGCTGGGCTCTGCTCCTTCAGTCACCTCCTGCGCTCCCAAACTACAATCAAAAACAGAAACATCTGAAAGTTAATTCAAAATAGCTCTAATCACCAGGGAAGGCCAATAGCAATGATTTCCTTCTGAAGAGGATCAGAGCATGCCATCCCCAAAATATGCTATTTTGGCATAAGGATTATATTGAACTGAAAGCAATCTACTTGTGTCCCTTCGCCCCTTTGGTCTAAATACAAGGCATAAATTTCACTATGTAAAGGCACCAAATTTCCATTTGTAAATATGTCTTCTCTGTTTTCAGGAAGAAGAGACTTTTATCTATGGGGAAAGCATCAATTCAAGTCTGCATAATAAACCTTACTAAATAACCCTTACCTTGTTAGTTTTCCCCAAATATTTACCTTCCTATGACAATTTAACCTAGGGCCCGAAGATTCTCTTTCATTTGGTTACTTTTCTATAATTTATCATTCTTTGTTAATACCAAGGGAGCTCCTAGCTGTAACATTTTACATTTACATATATGTACTAAACATTTCCCCCTGTTAATCCGTCTTTTGTCAGTTCAATTTGCAGGGCCCCTAAAATAGAGAAAAAGAGTTCTTCCTCTCTCCTCCTTTCATGCAATAGGTAGGCTCTCAGTTACAATCCTCCACAAATCTTTCCTGGTCCTTGCCATCATGAACACTCCATGCAGAGGTGACCATAAACCTCAATAAATGTGGAGGTGGGGAGAATCTTAAAGGAAAGATATGCATGCCTGCAGCAGAAATACCTGCTGGAGTTAGGAAAAATATATTTAAATTGAACCCTGCAGGATCACTGGAAGTGGGCTAGGCAAAGAGGAGGGAAAGGGTAATCAAGGCAAAAAGGAATTGATTTGTTTAAAAGCAGAAGAGATCCTGTTCAGGCCAGGCGTGGTGGTGGATGCCTATAATCCCAGCACTCAGGAGGCAGAGGCAATAGGATTACTGTGAGTTCAAGGCCAGCCTGAACTACATAGTGAGACAGTCTCCCCTCGCAAAAAAAATGAGAGAGAGTGAGACTGTGTTCATCTCTAGGACCTGAAAGGAGACTTAAAGAAGTTGGCCAGGTAGATCAGGATTTATCGGAAGATTACAGCAAGCCAAATATACTTTGCTAGATTTCACCGCCGGAGTAATTAATGGGCTGTCTCAGAAGGGTTTTATCAAAGAAAACACATCCGGTTTTTGTTTTTTTATGTTTTTGCAGATCGGGGGACTGAACTCAGGGGCTTCACACAGCTACATCTCCAGCCCCTTTTTTACTTTCTATTTAAATTAGGTCTTGGGGCCGGGGATTTTGCTCAGTGGTTCCACTGCCTGCCTTGCAAGCTCAAGGTCCTGAGTTCGATCCCCAGTACCAAAAAAAAAAAAAAAAGAAAAGAAAAGAAAAGAAATTAGGCCTTGCTAAATTTCCCAGGCTAGCTTTGAACTTGTGATCCTCTTTCCTCAGTCTCCCAGAGTGCTGGGATTACAGACATGCCCCATCATTCTCAGATATCATGTGTGCACATTAGAAAAATCACTCATCAGGCTGTAGAGTGAATGGATCAGATGTTGTGGGGCACAGGAGGCCCAGATTAGAGGTGAGGACCAGTTAGGAAGCTCCAAAGATATACAAGGCAGGAGAATGATGATGAAATGTAACAGGTGAATATGGGATGAGAAAAGAACTGGTAAAATCTCTGGTGATAGATAGGAGACAAGCAGGAAGAGTAGGCAAGGTTGACACTCAGGTTTCTAATGTAAAGTAGATGAAAGGTGACATCATTCCCTGAGAAAGTCAAAGTCCTGCGGTTGCATTTGTGTGGTCTTGTTTGATTTTTCTGGTGTGGGAGTATAGCAAGATAGGGCAAAAGATGGAGGAAAAGGGGGATTTGTTCTATTTTGGACATGTTGAACTGGTGGTACCTGGGACACGTTGGAAACAAATTTCAGTCTTTTCATACAGAACCAGCTAGTGGGATTTTTTTTTTACTGAAATAAACTTTATTTTTAATTTTCAGAAGTATAAAAGTTGTAACACTTTGTATAAATTGTTAACGATTTAGTTGATACCTAGTTAATCTCACACAGCATTTTTTCCTTCTCTTGAAAACTTGCATCCTTTAAAAGACAGACTAACATATATTAGCGTTTAGTAAATTATTTGAAGAGCAAAATTCTAGAATATCCATGTTTGTCATGGTACTTGAAATATGTTTAATATATTAATTTAAGTAATGTATCTCAGAAGCAACAATTATAATCATTAGTTCTCTAACCTTTAGGTCTGAATAAAACCTATCACTTTTCACAATGAGAAAGCAGAAAATAATATAATAATCAAATGGAGCTAACCTGAAATCATTTAATTCTCTCGGGCCTTTAAGAGATAGGGCCTGGTGGGATGTCATTATGGGACTCTCCCATTTTCTGGCTTCCTGTCTTGCCATGTGATCTTTCCCTCTCTTGTGCTCTCCCACCGCTGTGATAACCATGCACCATGACGTGTCAGCTAGTAGGATTTTTAATATACTTTGTCTGGTGCACAAGAGGTCCTGAATAAATGGCTTTTCTTTTTTTGGTACCGGGGATCAAACTCAGGACCTTGTGCTTTCCAGGCAGGCGACAGAACCACTGAGCTAAATCCCCAGCCCTTGAATAAATGGATTTTAATATAGTGGTAGTAGTAGGAAATAGTAGAGGGCTGGAGATGTAGCTTAATAGTAGAGCCCTTGCCTAGCACAGATAAGAGCCTTGGGTTCAAAGTCCTGGGACTGATCCCCAGCAACAGGATAAACTTTAGAGAGGTAATGAACTTATTTTGTTGTTGTTACAGGAAAAAACACTGGAATAAATTTAATTAGTTTTTCAAACCATTAATTGGTGTTTTTTGTTTTGTTTTCATGGCACTGAATGTTTGAACCTAGGGCCTTTGCACTGAGCTATATCCCCTGCCCTTTATTTATTTTGAGCCAGGGTCTCAGTAAGTCACCCAGGCTAGCTTCAACCTTGTGGTCTTCCTGTTTCAGCTTCCCAGAGTACTGAATATAGGTATGCTTTCCTTTCTTTCTTTTTTTTAAAAATCATATTATCATAGACAGCTAAGTTAGGTAGAAATATTATAGGCAGTCAGACAAGGCTACACCCTCAAGAGAGTCAATACAAAGGTTGAAAACATATTACAACTGTGGCCAGAGACATATGTGTTGGAGGCCAAGCCTCGAGATAAAGACGAAATGACCAGGCCTACATACTTCCTTAAGGGATAAAATAAGTGGTAGCAAAAAATAAATAAATAAATAAATAAAATAAGCGGTAGCATCTGGCCCAAAAAAATCTAAATAGAGATCAGTCACTCCAGTAGATGACCAAGACCTCCAGATCAATCCATCCCTTCCTAAAAACCTTGCTTGTTCTTTCCATATGCACTTGCTTCATGACCTGCTTTCCCACTGGATCAATATTACCTAAGCATCTGTTTGTAATCTTATTGGTTGATCATAGTTTTATCCTACATTATACCTACCTTATGATTTTGCTCTACAAAACTTCCCCTGTGAAATGAGATCCTGGTAACCCACTCTGGCACCCTCCCTGACTCTCCCTCTCAATAAATATTTCCTACTCTTAGTCTCTGTTGTTCCTTAGAATTCATTCAATTTTAGAGAACACAAACTCGGTGTATTTGACTCTAGCAGATTAAGAGTTATACTATTTTCCCCGATATCATTTGGAGGCCCTATATCAACATCACAAAGAATTCTAAATAACAGAGCACATCAAAGGTAAAGCAAGAAACATACACCAAAACTTGTAACAGTGATCTGTAAAACTTCCAGTCTGCATTCCTGTTATCACAGAATTACCAGGAAATCCTAGAAATAATTTCTCCACATAATCAAATTAGATGTATTGTCTTCAAAAACAACTATTTCCAAGATGAGTTAGGTCTCTGAGAATATTCAGGCACAGAAAAGACACCAAGTCCTTTACCACTATTCTAACCTCTAGCATTACACTTCCCTTGTTCCTGAACATTGTTTCTTCCAAGCCTTCATTTAATGCAATGGAGAGTAGTAAGGAAAAGCAGCCAGGACTTTTCTCTGAAAACAGCATCTGGTCCCTTCCGGTTAAAGTGCTTTGCAAATACCCTGCACTGGGATCACTGGTGAGAACCATGCTAAGCTTAGCTAGCGGGGGAGACAGCGCACCCGAGCAAGGGCCACCACACCCTCCCTGCCCGGAAACCTAGGGGGGCCGCCCGGGAGACTCAGCGCTGCGGGAGGGGTAGGGAGCGGGGTCCTGGCGCCCAGGCGCACGTCTTACTAGTGCACCCGAGACCATCCTCCCAACCCTCGGGACCCCGCCGAGACGCCGAGCCGCACGGCGCCCCACGCTGTAGGGGCCGCCCCCTGGGCGAGGACCTCTCTCCTCACCCCGTCGTTCCCCACGACTCGAGTCGCTCCTTCGCCGGGCCGCTGGCGCGCTTCCGCGGGGCGGGGCGGAGCGGCAGGTCGTCTCTCAGGTTGTAGGCCAACGAAGCCGCCTACGTATGGGCGGGAGGTTCTGTTCATGCAGTAGCCGGGCCTAGAAAGAGCACATTTTAAAGCTGCTTTTCCATGTTGCTCTAGAACAATGCTATTAATATGGAGTTGTCCTCTAGTAACAAAATCCTGTCTCCAGTTTATGGACACACCGTAATAGATAAATTTCACTGGGGCGGGGCTTTGTTCTCGCCCTTAGTAGGCACGAGGAAGGCAGAATAATGCACTCCCTCTATCCCTACAGATGTTTACGTCCTACTCTGAAATCCGTGCATTTATTCCCTTACATAGTAAAGGACCATTAATAATGCATCTGGAGCTACAGTTTATGGAAGAGGTTAAAAATCAGGACAAAGACTGACACACCGTAAACTATTAGGCAGAGAGGACGTGAGGTAGCTGGCTTCAATCACATCTACCTCAGAGAACTTTTGACCTGATGCAGCTGTACATCCCTTTTGCAGCATTCACTGAGACCCCAGCGGGCAAACTCCCAACTGGTTACTTCCTGAGTTTGCATCCTGAGAACTATAGTTTTCATTAGAGTGGAACATTCCAATCCTATTGTGTAAATATCCCAGAGAAACACGAAAGTGACTTCAGCCTTTGCGAGTAAATTAGTTTATTAGGGCTTACTAGCAAAGCGGTGGACTTGCAGGCTGCAGCACTATGGAAGTTGCCAAATCCCCTGTGTTAGGCTTCTGGTTTTTGTAGGGCACTAATTAAAGCAGCAAAAGCAATATCAAAAGCAAAAAGGGTCTTTGGAAAAAGTTGTGTGTACTCCGCACCCATCCCATCCTTATCAGAGAGTCCTGGTAAACCTCAGCCAGTCCAGGTAAACACTGTCCAGCCAATGATGGATGATCTTGTTATGCTGCAGGCTGGCACACGGCCTGAGCTCCTGGCAGGGAAGAACATACTGAACTGTAAACCTCATTATCCGGTGTAAACCCAGCATGACAGGCCAGTGAGGGCACAGGTGGTTCTATGGGCAGCACTTAACGTGTACAAGGCCATTCTGCTTTGCGCTATTCTGCACATTGCTGCTGTTCCCTGGTTGAGCAGGAAGGTGTCCTCCTGTGTATAATTTAGTGCCTTTGCAGTAAAGTTGACAAGGGTTTGTACTTGAATAAAGATTGTCTAGTGCCCCTGCTCGAGGCACAAACAGGATGAGGGAATCTTCCCACCGTGCCAGTCTCCAGGAAAGTGGGCCCTCAATCCTGGCAGATTTCTGGGACTAGAGGGAAAAATGTCATAAACATGGCCAGGCAGAAAAGGCCACCGTAGCGTACACTTGCCAGTCCAATTCTAAGGCAAGTGTTACCATAAGTGAGCCCCTGCACAGTCACCGTGTAATGAAGGGGAATGGTATGCCTCATTCTGGTAGGTGGCACTTTGTATTCCATTCTGTATATATTCCACATCTGTATGGTACTTACACACAACTCTCATGGGGCAGCTATCACATATTTCCAAGGAAGGAAGTCCTAGTTTCATTATTCTTTTCAAGACACAAGGGATCCTAAGTGTACACACACTGCTTCCCACACTGTAATGTACATGAACTGGAATTCACTGATGCTTTCTTACAGTTGCTAAGGCTTCATCCCAGGACCAAGACCACCAGGATGTGGGTTCCCTCTCGACTACCTTCCTTGAAGTTCTCATCTCTGTTTCGGGATCTTTTTTTTTTTTCTTCGGGGTCTTCATAAAGTTACTCCAATGGGGGGTGGAGGGGGACAGGGCAGGACATTCCAAAGCATGCCTACTTGACTGGATAAGGAAAGTTCACCATTCACTCAACAACTGGTCACTGTCCACTGTAAGAAGTTCCCCTTGGCTGTGGCCAGCAATAGCAGTAATCTAGAGGTGCAGACACAAATAGCAGTTTAGGATGGCAATTTCACTCGCACCTTGTATCCATTTAACAAAATAACAGTGTGGGACTGCATAACCTTTGTTCCTTTTCTCCAGCCCCATTGTGATTAAATGTGAGTTAATGGATAAAGATGCTTGTTAGTTTTGGGACACTAGATAAAATCTGTAACAGACCTAAAGTCCCAAAGTAAACTACTCAACTCCTTGTTTGCCCGGAACTGATGTTCTGGACACCACAATCTATAGAACAAGCTGCAAATGTCTGCTGACCATCAATACGTGACAGTCGACCACTAACCTTTGTCCCTTTTCTTTAATTCTATATGTTAACTTCCCCCTCAACCCCCTATAAGAACAGCCTCGGACTCTGAGCCAGTTGCCTCTCTAAGCTATTTTGCTTTGGGAGTGCCATCTGGCCAGACTAATAAAGGTCTGTTTTATTTTCCAACTTGTCTGGTGTGTTCCTTCCCGGGTGTTCTTTGCTGCAGTCAGCTCCTCGGAGCGTTTGGTAAGGCCCTCGGTCTTACAACAGCAGTTGCTTCCCCAGTGAGACCCATGACTTCTCCAGCCATAGGTCTTTTTCCTGTCTTTGTAGTACTAAATGTGGGTTCTCTTCTTTGGAGCAGGCTTAGGTCCAATCAGAAAGTAGTTGGTTGGGCTGGGGATTTAGCTCAGTGGTTCCACCGCCTGCCTAAAAAGTGCAAGGTCCTGAGTTCGATCCCCAGTACAAAAAAAAAAAGCAGTTGGTTGCCCCCAGGCCAGTCATGCCCCTGCTGCACTGGTAGGCTCATCCTGCCTGGCATGCTGGTGGTGTAACACACAAGGCCTGCAGCCAAGCAGGACCTTTGGTTTCAGTTCTCCCTGGGCAGTGTGTGTCGTGCATTCTGGCACTATGAACACCAGGCAGTAGTGAAAAAGCTTCTACTGGCCAGTCCCACATTGATTTCTCCATGTTCTACAGCCAAAGCATGTGTAGACTTCAGCAACAGAAACTTATTGTCCAGTTCTGGTGTGCAACCACCTGCAGAGTTAAAACCTTGTATGGTAGGGGGGAGATAGGGGGCTTCCCTGGCCAATTGCTCATAGGGAGGTAGCTCCCCTCTGGCACTGGGATTTTCATTCAACAACCTATGGCTTCTGGAAGTATCCCCCCCCCACACACACACAGGGTGACTTCATTTAAATCTTTAACTGTTGCTTTAACGACCCATTTTTCCTTTCAATTAAGCCAGCCCCTGGAGGGTTGTAAGACAAGTGAAAGTACCATTGTACTTGACTATCCTCAGCCAAACTTTGTTCATCAGTGTTGGTGAAATGAATGCCCCTGTTACTCAATTCTCTATGGAAACCCATACCTAACAATGAGCAGAGCAAGTTCATTAATAGTGGCTTTTCTAGTGTCCTGTTGACAGTGGGAATGTTTGGGGTTTTTTGTTTTGTTTTGTTTTGTTTTTGATACTGGGGATCAAACTCGAGACCTTGTACTTGCGAGGCAGGCACAGTGCCACTGAGCTAAATCCCCACCCCCCTCCGTTTTTTTTTTTGACAGTGGGAATGTTTCCAAGAGGCCCATGGTAGTATCCACACAGGTGAGTGCATTTTTACAGCCCTCAATCACAGGTATGGGCCTGATATAATTTACCTGCCAATCTCATACCAGGCATGTTGACTTATGCACCAGGTTGGGTAGTGTATCCATCCTTTGAGGCTATAGCTAGGCACGGGACCTGCCTGCCTGCCTGTACAACATGTAAAATGCTGGAATACTTTATGGGAATGCCTGCAGCCATTGCTATCCTCCAGCCTGTGTTGACTCCCTTGTGCCCAATCTTTATGTGAGCCCAATGGGAGGCTTCTCTAGGTGTATGAGGACAAATAGCTTGCACCTTTGTAAGGGCATCAGCCTCTTGATTATCTGAGGGACTGACCAGGCCATGGGTAGCTACATGGAAGACCATTAGTGGCGCTGACTCATTTTGTATTCTTTCATACATCTCTCTCCACATATCCCCACAGTGGCCTACCAAAGGGGTACCTACCAGTGCTCCTTTTCCATTGTGCTATCCTTAGAGTCAGATCTCTGAAGACTGCTGAACTATCTGTGCAGATAATGGTAATTTCTCATGAGTCACAACTATTCATATCGCTCCAGGCTGTCTTTTCCCACTCTCTGCTTTTCCCTTCCCCATTCGCTAGCCTGATGGTATCTGTTACTGCCATGACTACCCAGTCCTGCTTTGTGTGCCAACTAGTGCCATCAATGTACCAAGCATCTTCAGGAATGGGTAATATCCTTTCCAGCACCTTATCTGGCTTAGCTGTTGGTTCAATCACTGGGGTGGTTCAGTAGTTTGGAAGGACACTGACCCTGGTATTGCCTACACGGCATTTGTTTCAGGAGCAAATAGGACTCTATGCTGCTGTAAATATGCTTTTTTTTTTTTTTTGGTACCAGGGATCGAACTCGGATCCTTGCGCTTGCGGGGGCAGGCGGCGGAACCACTGAGCTAAATCCCTGGCCCAGCTAAATCCCCAGCCCTGTAAGTATGCATTTTGTACCACCTGAGAAAGGGATTTGGCCAAAAGGCCTTTGACCCAGCCCTTCATTGGATATTCTGTTTCAACTGTCCTGAAGCAGAACCAGTGATGTATTCTGCTTGCTGCAGGGATCTATAGACAGCCAGCAACTGTTGCTCCAGTGCTATACACCAGGCTTCCACCTCTTTTTATGATTGAAATTGTCTGTTTCTGCCCTAGCCCTCAACTATAGCCCCTAGGGCTCCTGGTAACCCTGGGACAAAGGGCTTGGGGCATGCAACTGTTTAGCCTGCCTCACAATTATCTCAGCTTGCTCAAGAGCCTCTTGTGCCCTGTCTTACTTTCTTCAGTGCTGGAACAAAATACCTGACACTCGCAACTTAAAGAAGGAGAGGTTTATTAAATATAAGAATGGCATGGTGAAGAACCTGAGCAAAGAAAAGCTGCTCATGTCTTGCACCCAGGAAGCATGGAGAGAAGGGAGGAACCAGGGAGGGAGCTATGCCCTTCCAATTCACATCTCCAGTGACCTGCCTCCCCCACCAGGCCCAACCTCCTAATAGAGAGTCA